GACCCCCTTTACAATTCACTGGGTCAGTTTCCACCAGTCTCAGGCCTAGACCAAACTCTGGGAGGACTGCAATGACCAAGACTGATTTAAAGACAGATTTAGCTCCTGGGCTTCAGGAAGGAGCAGACAAAATCCCGGTTCTTTTGGCAAGGCAGAGGCCAGTGGATAGACATTGGTACTGGGAAGACAACTAGCAGTGTTCATCATAGGAAGTTACTTAGTATCTCCAAATCTTGTTTCCTTTGTCTCTCGAAGGGGAATAGTTTAATCATGAGGTTAAGTGCAATAATGCATGTAAAGCAATTTCTTCTTATCTGGTACATAGCAAACAGTAGTAGCTACTTTCATCTTTTATAAAATCACTAATAAAAGCACTATTTTCCCTAAGGGATTGTGTGATATGTTGCTTTTAGATTTTAGTAATAGGAAAAAGTTTTTTCCTGGTCTGCTTGATGAGACAGAACTGTATCACACCCAGGAAGCTCTCAGCTAGAATTTTTATTTTATTTTAAATTTATTTATTTATTTATCATCTTGCAAAGTGAAAGGTCACCAGTTTGATTCCCAGACAGGGCCTATGCCTGGATTTCGGGTTCAGTCCCTGGTGGAGCTCGTACTAGAGGCAACTGATCAATGTTTCTCTCTCACATTGATGTTTCCCTACCTCCTTTCTGCCTCCTTTCCCCACTCTCTCTTTAATATATATATAATAAAATATTAAATACATATTTATAATATAATATTTACTTAAGAATACATAAATATTTATTTTTAGAGAGAGTGGAGAAAGGAGAGAAGAGAAACATTGGCTATAGCTCCATGACTGACACACCCCGACCAGGAATCGAACTGGCAACCCTTCGGGTTGTGGGATGGTGTCCAACCAACTGAACCACACCAGTCAGGGCAGCTCTTAGTTAGAATTTGATATTTAAGTATAATATGTCTTTTACTCAGCTGATCTTTAATTTTGAATTGTCCTGTTTTCTTTAAAATGTCTCAACTACATTTTTTTAAATAAGAGGTGGATAAATTATCAATAAATAAGCCAAATGGGTTTTGGAGCCTTGTTATATATACACAAATTAATTCATTTGGCTTTACAAATTTTGTGGTAACATACACACAACATAAAACTTACCAGCTTAACCATTTTTAAGCATAGAATGGCATCAAGCACAGGCACATTGTTGTGCCATCGTCAGCACTGTCCTCCTCCAGAGCACTTATCACCTTGTAAAACCAAACTCTGTACCCACTGAGTAGTAAAGTCCCCATTCCTCCCTCCCCTCAACTCCTGGCAAGCACTCTTCTACACTAGATACTGCAGGTACCTCATATAAATGAAATCACCCAATATTTGTCCTTTTGTAACTGCCTTATTTCACTTAGCAAAATGTCTCCCAAGCTCATCCCTGTTGCAATATGTGTCAGAATTCCCCTCCTGTGAAAGACTGAAAAATACTCCATTTTCTTTATGTATTTTCGTAATCCATGCATCTGTCGTTGGACACTTAATTTGCTCCCACCTTTTGGCTATTGTGAATAATGCTGCTATGAACGTGGCCCTGTTCAAGGGTCTTCAAGAGCCTGAGTTGAGTCATTTTGAGTATATACCTAGGAGTGGAATTGTTGGATCATATGGTAATTCTGATTTTTGAGGCAACTGTCATACTCTTTTGTATAGCTGTTGTACCATTTTACATTTCCACCAAAAGTACATAATGGTTCCAATTTTTCCACAGCCTTGCCAACACTTGTTATTTACTGTTTGATAATAACCATCCTCATAGGGGTGAGATGGCATCTCACTGTGGTTTTGATTGGCACTTTCCTAATGACTAGCAATTGTTGAGCATCTTTTCATGTGGTTATTGGCCATTTAAATAATTTCTTTGGAGAAATGGCTCTTCACTCTGCCCACTTTTTAAATTGTTTTGTTTTTGTTGTTGTTATTTTGGTTGAGTTGTAGGAGTCTTTTATATATCCTAAACAGTAACCACTTGTCAGGTATATGATTTGCAAATATTTTCTTCCATTCTATGAATTGTCTTTTTACTCTGTTGCATCATTCATCTGGCTTTTAAGTTAGGAAATACTAAAAAACTGCTTAAGTAAAATAGAATTAAATATATAAATATCATAAAACTAAGCTCTACTATTATATTAGGAGCTTTGGAAAGCAGGGACAGTGTATGAAGATAGGGAGGAAATGAAGCTGTAGTGTGAAGATGGAAGAGCTATGGAGAAAAAGGGCAGACAGAAAAGTATGTAGTTCTTAGTATCTGTGTCATATTTTTATTGTTTATTCAGCTGTTTTACTTTTGCCATCTCTTTAGTAATATTTGTTCATTCTCTCAAAAAAGTATGTCCGAAGTGTCCACATTTATGGCATTGTCTACATTCAAGAAGCTTGTATCTTGTTATGTGGTTAAGGTAAGAGAGATTAAAAATTAAGGTGGAATGCAACTTTAGAAGTACTGTGAGGAGTGAGCCTACAGGGAGCAGTTTATCTAGACTGTGTGCCTTCCAGCATAAGCAGCTCTGCCAGCCCCAAAGGAACCTCTATCGTCACTTTTGGTGGCTTTCCTGGTATTTCTGACCACTTATCTTAGACAGGGCATTCTTCTCAAAGTTTGTATTTCTGAAGTGGAAAACTCATGGCTATTTCAATGTAGGTTGAAACTCAAAAATGACAAAATATTTTAAAACAATCAGTACTAAAATCTGAACCCTTGGCTATAAGGGGACTTTGTAATTCAAGGCCGTGATGGTTTAATTTAGCATAGGTCCCAATCTTCATTCTCTCTCCCTCCCCCAGTAACTTCACAAATGCTGTTTCCTAGCCATTTCCTCTTTTTATTTTGGTGTTTCTGTTGAAATGAACTTTAGTCCTAGATTTTATAACTACTAGGCAATGTGGTCTGTGGTGGGTAGAGGAAATCACAAGTGTGGTCTCTTCAGTTGGAGGCTGAGTACTGTCACTGTTGGGGTTTTTCTATGAAGTGACTGGCCTGACGCTGCATTCTTAGCTTTTGCCTAGGGCACCCAGTCTGTAGCACTCTGGTCAGCAGCACTGGAAGGTGGACTGTTTCTATATATTCTTTCAAGTCAGGTAATTTTGTGTAAGTTAACATGTTATTTTAAATTGTAGATTTAAAGAGGTTTCATATCCTGTCAGGACATATAACAATGTTTTTCATTGAACATTTTTCTTTTTTTGAAAAGATTTTATTTATTTTTATTTTGAGAGAGAGGGGGAGGGAGAAAGAGAGGGAAAGAAACATCAATGTGTGGTTGCCTCTCACACGCCCGCTACTGGAGACCTGGCCTGCAACCCAGCCATGTTCATCGAACCAGCAACCCTTTGATTTGCAGGCTGGCACTCAATCTACTGAACCACACCAGTCAGGGCTCAATGAACATTTTTCAGAGTTACTGTTGTAATGCAACTGCATTACAAAACATAAATTTCTTTATATTTGTAGTGTCACTAGCCCCAAACTGCAGCTGTCAAGAACCTGTCAAAGCATTTAGGAACTTTCTATTTCCTCAAAATAAATTTTTGTTATATTCCATTCGATGCACACTCCATTCACTGCTTTCACTCTTGTATTTAATCAGAAAAACATGTTCAAACACAGTGGTTTCCTTTCTAGTGCTAACCAGTTACCATCTAACTTCTTTAAAAAAATACAATGCAGGGTGGTGAGTAGAGCAGGGGAGAGTAATGGGGGGGAAAATGGGGACAACTGTAATTGAACAATAAAAAAATTACAGAAAAATACAATGCATTATTGTAATCATTATCATCTCTGCAGTAAGGATTCTGCCCAGATAACTAATTCTGTTAACTAAAAGTTACTTTTTGAAATTACTACATCGTGTCAAAAGGAATTCATCACTGCTAAATAATCCAGCATTACTAGTACTTTTTACTTGCTACTGAACTTGACTGCTTTATGCAAAGGCTAAAGTTAGATGGAACAAATCCATGAAAATGGAGCACTATCCAAGTGGCCATATACAATTACAGCAAGATACCTGGCTCCCTTAACTCATAATCAGGCTTAACACTTAGAGGTATAGTCAAAGTGACTTCTGGGTTCTCAGAACTCAGTTACCTGCTTTGGCCTGAAGCTGACAGCATCTCTAGGCTGATGGGAGATCTGAGTGGGCATTTCCAGGGAGGAGCAGGGCCTTCTGGCCCACTTGGCTGTGTTCATCCTGTAGTTTCTCCAGGAAGGCCGAGCTATGTAAGGAGTCAGCCAAAGGAAGGGCTCAGCTGGTCATCCCACCCTAACCCTGTGTCTCCATATCAAGTCCTGGGGAGGAAGAGGAAAGCCAGCACCGTCCTGATTTCTCTGTCAGTCCTGACTTCAAAACACGGAAACACTAGTCACCAATTGTTACAGATCTGTCTTCAATGTTAAGAAAACATGACCATGACAGTTTCATAAAAAATATTGTATGATATAAAATAACTACCTTTACTTTACTCTCCCTTTCTTTACTTTATTCTGCCTTAACCAGGTTACCAAGAAATTTTCCACATTGTGGATGACAGGAAACTATGATGATTTCCAGTCCTATTCTACACAAATTAATGAACATTCATTAGTTCAAAGACAATTACTGGCAAGGATTTCCTATAGAAGTATATAAATTTTAGAAGTCAACTTTCACCCTCCAGATTCCAATATTGGAAATTAGCTGAATGACCCCACATACTTTTGTATAGTTTCAAATTTTTACCCCTAAAAATTCAAAGGCTCTGAAATCGCCTCCTAATCTAGCATAAACAAGCAGAAGACTGCTAACTTTCAAAACAAACTGAAAGATAAGACTTTTAATTTGGTACATTTAATGGACAAAGTCTTTATGAAGGGGCAAATTGCAAGCATTTTTCTCAGCTTTAGTTGTAGGCCCACTATATTTCTCTTTAATGAACTTTGCACAAACTTATATTAATAGCCTCATTGTATTAGACCACCTAGGAGAAAGAGTATAAATTAAGAGTTTATTTTTTCAGATATACAAAAAGTGGAATAATAATCTGTCTTCTTCATAAATTAATGACAAAGCTATAATAACTAATAAGGTTATTTTAACAGGTGCTATATAGAAATATTTATCGCCTATTTATACACTTATATTAACTAAAGGTTTTCCTTGAAGAGAAAGCTATAACTGTTGCTCTTCGAGTTTCTCTGTATCACATAAGCATTGTCCAGTTTTGGGTGATTTAGTCGCAGCCACCGGTCTCTGCTGAGCGGTCCTCACAAATCTGAGCAGATTGATGACGGCGGCAGGTGTCACTCCGGGGATGCGACTAGCGGCCCCAATCTAGACAACGAAAGCCCCAAAAAGAAACATAAAGTGAGTTGTGTCAGCATTTTCCTCCCAGTAACAATTTGTATATTATAGTTGATAAATTTTTTCAAAACTACTATCCTATATGCACTTTCAAAATAACTACAAAGAAAATGTGATTGTTATTAATATCTTCATTTAAAAAAATAGGAAAATTGGGGCTTAGAGAAATGAAAATGACTTGTCCAAGATCACATAATAGATGTTAGAGCCTACTTTTTCTTTTTATTAAAATAATGTGCCCTGGCTTGTGTGGGTCAGTGGATGGAGCACGGGCCTATGAACCAAAGAGTTGCTGGTTCGATTCCCAGTCAGGGCACATGCTTGGGTTGCAGGCCAGGTCCTTAGTGGGGGGGCACGTGAGAGGCAACCACACACTGATGTTTCTCTCCCTCTCTTTCTCCTTCCCTTCCCCTCTCTCTAAAAAAAGAAATAAATAAAATCTTAAAAAAAAAAAACCCTGACCAATGTGGCTCAGTTGCTTGGGTGCTGTCCAGCAAAGCGAAAGGTTGCCTGTTTGATCCCCAGTCAGGACACATGCCTGGGTTGCAGGTTCAGTCTCTGGTTCGGGCGTATATGAGAAGCAACCGATCCATGTTTCTCTCTCACATTAATGTTTCTCTCCCTCTCTTTCTCTCTCCTTTCTCCTCTCTCCAAACATAAATAAATAAACTCTAAACAAAAAACAAACAAAACAAAAACCCCTAATGTAACCTCCCCAGCAGTGTGTTGGGCAGCACCATATAATTAATGTTAATATTTCTGTGTTGTATTTTTATAATGAAATACATGAATATTAACTGTAAGTGGCATAAGGACTAAATAGCCACATACCACTTCAGGTCAGTTTCACCACAAATGAGACTGCAGCAGACATTCATCAGAGTTTTTTGCATTTTAGAACTGTGGATGAGGGATTGTGAACTGGATGACCAGTGCCGTCCTACTGAATTTTCTGTGATGATGGAAATTTTCTGTAACATTTGCACTGTTGAACATGGTAACCACTAGCCACATGGGACTACTTACCTCCTGAAATGGGTTTAGTATGACTGAAGAGTTGAATTTTAAATTTTATTTAATTTTAATTAATGTAAATGGTCTACTTGGCTATTGGCCATAACCCTGGGCCATGCAGCCTATGATGATCCATGAAAACGTAACCCAAGATGAGCATGACGCATGGAGTCATGAAGTTTAAGGTTTGTTTGCCTGGTCTCCACAATGACCACTCATAAGAACAACATATTATATGATGAAATCACTCCTCCCTTTAAAAATCATTAAAAGAAATTTTTACAAACCGGATTTTTGTTAAATGCTCATTTATTTTATGAACTACTGCTAATAAAAAAACCACTGTTCATTAAACAATGAGGCACCACCAATTTTTAAGGTACAAATCAGTTTCAGAGATGTTGAAATGTACATCTTAGATTCAATACATACAGCCTATCAGTCTTTAGCTATTTTATTAGAAGTTCACACTGCACACTGCTTACAAATGTGTTCACGCATGTGCACATACACATATGCACACACACACACACACACTTAGGTTAAAGCATGGGGAGACTCTTTGGTTCCCCTCTTTCTTCTAGTAGCTCCCAAGGCCACACTATCAAACTCTAGACAGGGATCCAAATAGTGATTTGAAAACCACCAAATTATAAACACCAAATTCTTGACTTCTGGTTATTTACTTACACTAAGCTTTTCATCTCTCATAAAAATATACTGACATCTGTCATAGAAAGAGATTCTGAAAATAAGAGGTTAAGTTTGTTGTGATGAAATAACACATTAATTACATGGCCACAGTAACTGCAGATTTAAAAAACTAAAGCACTGGCTCTTAGTTTATAACCTGGTCCCACCCACTGCCTGTTTCCTTACCGTCTGTGGGCGACTGAAATGCAGCTTCTCTCGAACTTCAGAGGACAAAGACACACCCCTGAGAGTCAAATAATCTAGGTCTTTTGGCAGCTGGAGAGCTTCATCTCGCTGGATGTTCTTTATTTCTTGTTGCTGATGGAACAATACTGATTCATAAGTGGCTGGTGAACAAAATTAATTTATGTTATGATACTCAGAATATCTCAACAACTTACATTTTTATAGCTTCTTACAATTTACAAAAAGCTTTTGCAAACATCATTATCTCCTTCAACACTAATCTCAACACCATGACATAGGTTGGGGATGGGTTCCCTTTCTCAGATGAGGAAACTGAAGCTGAAAGAAAGAGAGGGTGTGTCTTACATATTAACTGTAGCATGCTGCCTGTCCTTTCCATTTCAAAGATTTGGAAAATTAACAGTAAGAAAAGAAAATGCATTCCTTTTCAGTGCTCATTTTGGTGGAGCATCCCCTAATAGTCTGTGGGTTTGAATTTTAAGTTCTAAAGTCAGATGTTTCTTCAAGAAAAAGGTTTTCTGCCCTGGCTGGCATAGCTCAGTGGATTGAGTGCAGGCTGAGAACCAAAGTGTTGTAGGTTCGATTCCCAGTCAGGGCACATGCCTGGGTTGCAGGCCATGGCCCCCAGCAACCACACATTGATGTTTCTCTCTCTCTCTCTCTCTCTTTCTCCCTCCCTTCCCTCTCTAAAAATAAATAAATAAAATCTTTTAAAAAAAAGACTGGATGGTTCACATGCTTGAAAAAAAAGAAAAAAAAAAGAAAAAGGTTTTCTGAATTATGAACATATAAGCTATAATTTTAAAAGTTTAAAGCTTCTTAGATGATAATACATAATGCAAGTAATTTATTAAATAATTGAATAAGGTTTTATTCAGAAGTTAGAAAGATAATTCAGCCATTATTTTGTAATTAAAGCATTCTGTTCTTAGAAAAATTAATTCAAAACCTACTTTAAAACCTAAATTGAGGTGATCGTTCTGACCTGTTCAAGAAGGCTGGTTGTGGTAGCACCTGCCTCTATCACTTGAATGGCAGCTAGGAAATCTCAGCCCTGAGCCTGGTGCTACCAATGAATGAATAATCTTCTGACTATGGGCATGTCATTGTTCTTCTGGGCCTTAGTTTCTTTATCTAGAAATTTTAAGGGCTCACCATGATAGCTTCTCATGATCATTATGGCAACAAAGGGTAGTTGTGAGGTGCACAGGCCTTATGGTCAGACAAGCTAGGTTCAAATCCCAGCTCTGCCGCCCACCAGTCGTGTGTTCTTGGGCAAGTTACCACTTATCTATGTTGCTACTAACACCTATCTTTCACAGGACAATTGTAAGTATGAAATGAAATAATGCATGGAAAGGGCTTAATACAGGAAACATTGTGATGTAACAATTTAGCACAACAAATTGTAACTATAATACAATTTTATGACCCATGAATAAACTCAGCAGGGGATCACAGAATATAAATGAAGCTATAAAATGTGTGTGTGTTAAAAGTATATTTATGTAATCTTTTGAGTATGCATAGAGCAAAACATGAGCAATAATACAAAGAATCTGAAATTGATTTCTGCCTTCTAGAAACTTGTTGTCCAGTGGAGGGTTTGAGAAGTGATTTGAAAACTACTGGTATGTGTTACATTTCAACCTAGTGTGGTTTCTTTTAAACCATGGATATAAATTAGCATCTTTACCTACAAACAAGTTAAAGATAATTATTCTGGATTATTCTAACCTGAACCTGGTGATTTATTGTACAAATTAAATTACAAACCAAGTTTAAAACATGGAATTTAATCACCTTTCCCAGGTGCTAAGATCCTACATGTTCAATACAGTAATTTTTATTTAATAGAGAAATCATGATACTGAAATAAAAGGTCAACATTACTTCTTACACATTAGTGTCTTACTAGTAGTGTCTGGCCATTGGAAAGAGTGATTCTAGGGTTTAGGTGGGTTTCCGTTTGTTACTCAACTTTCATTAACTTGCATGGTGGGATGGCAGGCACCATTTGGGTCATCCCATAAATGCAGCCAAAACATAGCAGGGTGATAGACCTCTCTGGAACTGATAGAAAATGCCACTGCTGGAAGGAATATAGCATTCTTACCACCGCCCCTGGGCCCCAAGGAGCTTAATGTCCTTTCCTGTTTAAACAGCACATCATCATCCAACTTTTCCTACTGTTCTAACCCACCTCATTCTGTTCCCTGACTTTTGCTCTGCATAATTTTCCACTCCAGGAAAACACATCCTCTGTCAAAATACAGAAAATGATCTTATTCTCAATATTTTTGTTTGGCATTTTTATAATGAAAAACTTTTAGAAAATGCAGTAAAACTACAAAAGTCATCTGTGGCTTTGGTGGTCAATACACTGACCCAGAGTGTGTGGGAGTGTACCATGTGCGGCAAAATACAGGGTAGACTGCATTTCTCTCCTGATGCAAAATAAGCATTTGCTAGAGGTAGAGTATTCCATTCTTGTGAAAGCCAAACAATATTATTTTTCCCATTATTATAACATTTTATAGGGAAACCGTAAAAGGAAGTTAAAAAAATAAGGTTTTTTTTTAAAGGAGCACTTTACAGTAGCAGTTCCTAAACTTGAAATGTGCACACCTAACACCTGGGCATCTTGTTAAAATGCAGATGTTCACTCAGTCTGTCTGGGGTGGAGCCTGGGATGCAGCATGCCTAATGAGCTCCTGTGGGTGGCAATGTTCCTAGCCTGGGAACCCACTTAGCACAGAGTGTAAGCCTATGTTGGCCCTGTGGTCACGATGGCTCCTCTCAAAACAGACCTCTTAATGGATCTGCTATCCATTCATAATTTGTACAAATGGTAAAGAGAATATATAGGCATCTTAGGTAAAAAATGCATTTTCTACCTTCTATTTTCAGTCTTTCGGCTAGCTCTTTACATTCAGTGTACTTCTTCAAGGGCTCTGGAATAGCCTTGGCCAATAACTCCATGTCAACTTCCTCATACTTCAGAACATCTAGAGCTCTGCAAATACACAAACTTTTCATTAACATAGGGGTCCATATCACGTAAAACAGATTAAAAACAGAATTTCTTGGAAATAATAATCTCAGAATAAACAATAGCTAATTTTTTCCAAGTACAGTGAACAAATGCAGCAGCATCTACAACACAGGAGAACCTCAGTAAGATGGGTGTGATTCTCCCCAACTCCCGTCCTTTATCATGAGAAATGAGTTGCTGGTAAAGGTTGTCCTTTCTTGGAAGTACAGAATATCCTCTGATAACAAGGGTTTCATTGAATTCCATAAGAATTTACATCTGATCCATGGCCATTTAAGCCCATGTTCTGTTAATGAGTCATCCTTGTGTGAGCTAGGAAGCAGCTGAAGGAGTTCTGCTTGCTCCAAGACTACAAAATATTCTGCCGTTTCCCTCTCTTTTTGTTTGGTTCTCACAGGCCTCACTGATAAATTAGCTGCCTGAATTCATTTTATTTTTATTTACTTTGATATTTCCTTCTTTTAATACATTGCCTTTTTGAGAAATTCTCTCCACCCAAAACCAATTAAACCAATTAACTATCAAGTCAACAGAAAGTCAGATCTGCCCACCTAGGGGTGCCAAGTCTTTCCAGGCCTCCTACCAACCTTCTTTCTAGCTTATTCTGTTATCACAGTCACACATTCCCACCCTTTGCAGATGTCTGATTCATCTATTCCTCAGAAAGCTGGCTCTAAGAAAGGCCAGAAATTCTCTCCCCACAAGGAACTTGACAACTAACTACAGAGGTCTCATCAGATAAGCTTTACTGAAATCATAGGACCCTAAGCTCCAAAAGGGTAATGGTGGTCAATTTCAAGAATTACAGAACATAGAGGAACACACCTCCTAATGACTGACTAGGAAAAGGGTTACCTTGGAATCTAGCGGATGGAGACCTTGAAGAAAAGCCCTTGACCGTCTGATTTATTTTAAAAAAGAAAAAAAATAGCAAATCATTTGTTTACAAGGCTTGGAGCTGCTCTAGGTCCAAACTTCAAGACAAGCTTTGAATCAAGCATAAGCCCCAGAGTACAGAGGTCTGGCACAGAAAGGACAAGTTCTTGTACTTCACTAGAAGACAAGAGAATTTCTGAGCTAATTAACATATCAGTGGGTTTCCGTATGATCCTGACCGGAAATGAGTGTGCACATGCACCTGTGTATCTCTGGTTAAAATGGCTAAAAGTCTGGTTAAAAGTCTGGTTCATCTTGTCAGTGCTTAGCACAGAGCCTAGCATACATAGAATAAAAACAATCAAAGTATTTTACAAACTTTCTATTTTTTTTAGTTTTATATAGTGAATGCTAACTGTAATCAAAATATAAAACATTTTTAATAGGAAAAAATAAATAAATTATATTCTGCTGAAATCAAATATGGGGACTGGGACCCTGCTTACCTCCTCTAAAGGGAAACCCTGAATTAAAAAGAAAAGCATTTGGCTAAATTACTTAAAAAAAGAAAATCACCTTAACAAAATAGCTATCATGGGGTAAGTTTGCTAAAAATATAAAATTGATAGCCTTCTTTTACATATTTTTAGTTTTTTTCTGAGAACAGGTCTTTTACATCCTTGGTTAGGTTTATTCCTAGGTATTTTATTCTTTTCAAAGCAATTGTGAATGGGATTGTTTGCTTAATTTTACTTTCTGTTAGTTTCTTATTGGCATATAAAAATGCAACTGATTTCTGGGTATTAATTTTGTATCCTACTACTTTACTAAATTTAGTTGTCAGTTTCTTGGTGAAATCTTTGGGGTTCTCTATGTACAGTATTATGTCATCTGCAAATAAAGAGTTTTACTTCTTCCTTTCCAGTTTGGATGCCTTTTATTTCTCCTTCTTGTCTGATTGCTGTGACTAGGACTTCCAGCACTATGTTGAATAAGAGAGGTGAAAGCGGACATCCCATGTTGTTCCTGATCTGAAGGGGAATGCTTGTAGTTGTTGCCCGTTGAGTACTGGCAGTGCATTTGTCATATGTGACCTTTATTATGTTTACGTATGTTCCCTCTATTCCCACTTTAATGAGAATTTTTATCATAAATGGATGCCTCCTTTTTCTGAATCTATTGATATGAATATGTGGTTTTTATTCTTCATTTTGTTTATGTGGTGAATCACATTGATTTGTGAATGTTATACTAACCTTGCATTCCTGGAATAAATCCCACTAGATCATGGTATATGATTTTTTTTGATGCATAGTGTATTTGGTTTGCTATATTTTGTTGAGGATTTTAGTGTCTATGTTCATTGGGGATATTGGCCTATAATTAATTTTTTGTAGTGTGTTTTATCTGGTTTTGGAATTAGAGTAATGCTGGCCTCATAAAATGAGCTTGGGAGCTTTTCCTTTTAATTTTTTTGAAATAGTTTGAGGAGAAATGTTCATTCTTCTCGGAATGTTTGGTAAAATTCATCTGAGAAGTCATCCAGTCCAGGGTTTTTTTTTTTGTTGGTTGGGAGTTTCTTGATTACTGCTTCAATTTCACTAGGATTGATGTCTATTCAGATTCTCTGATTTTTCTTGATTTAGTTTGAAAGGTTGCATGTTTCTAGAAATCGATCCATTTCATACAGGTTGTCCAATTTGTTGGCATATAGTTATTCATAATATTTTCTTACAATCCTTCCTATTTCTTTGGTGTCGGTTATTTCTCCTCCCTCATTTCTGATTTTATTTCTTTGGGTCCTCTCTTTTTCTTGATGAGTCTGGTTAAAAGTTGCCAATCTTGTTCATCTTTTCAAGGAACCAGCTCTTGGATTCATTGATCTTTTGCATTATTTTTTTAGGCTCTAATTTGATTATTTCTGCTTTGATCTTTATTATTTCCTCTCTTCTCACTTTGGGCTGTTTGTTGTTCTTTTTCAAGTTCCTTTAAGTGTAAAGTCAGATTGTTCGTTGGAGTGTTTTCTTGTTTTATGAGATAGGCCTGTAATGCCTGAATTTCCCTCTTAGGATTGTTTTCCCAGTATCCCACAGATTTTAGATTGTTGTGTTCTCTTTTGCATGTTTCAGGGTATCGTTTGATTTCTTCCTTGCTCTAGCTGTCGACCCACTCATTGTTTAATAACATCTTAATTTAGCTTCCATGTCTGTGTGCTTTTCAGTGTTCTTGTGATTCAGTGTTTCTACTTTCATAGCTTTGTGGTGAGAGAAGACACGTGATGTGATTGCAACCTTCTTAAAATTATTGACACTTGTTTTGTATCCAAACATCTAGGTCTATCCTAGAATATGTTCCATTTGCACTTGAAAAGTATATGTTGTGGGTTTGGGATGAAATGCTCTGAAGGCATCAATTAAGTCTATTTGATTTAGTGTGTCATTTAAGCCCACTGTCTTTTTGATTTTTTGTCTGGATGATCTATCCACTGAAGTCAAAGGGGTGTTAAATCCCCAACCATGCCTGTATTCCTGATCTCTACCTTTATGTCCATCAAGGTTTGCTTTACATATTTAGATGCTCCTATGTTGGGTGTGTAAATGTTTACTAGGGTTATATCCTCTTGCTGGATTGTCCCCTTATCACTATGTAGTATTCTTCTTTGTCTCTTACTATAGCCTTGGTTTTAAAGTCTATTTTGTCAGATATAAGTATTGCTACCTCAGCTTTTTTTCCATTTACATTTGCATGAATTATCTTTTTCCATCACTTTACTTTTAGTCTGTGTGTATCTTTCAATCTGAGCTGGGTCTCTTGGAGGCAGCATATATGTGGCTCTTGTTTTCTTATCCATTCAGCTACTCTCTGTCTTTTGGTTGGAGCATTTAGCTATTTACATTTAAGGTGATTATTGATAGATATGTATGTAGTGCCCTTTTATTGTTAGACTATTTTTCTGTTTTTTTTCCATCTTCTTCTTAAAAGCAAGCCCTTTAACATGTGTTGCTATATCAGTTTGGTGTTAACAAACTCCTTTAGCTTTTTCTTGTTTGGGAAGATCCTTATTTCTCCTTTGATTTTAAATGATGGCCTTGCTGGTTAAACTAGCTTTGGTTGTAGGCTTTTACATATTTTTAAATGATCAATTAGCATTTTAAACTGAGTTGAAAACAATCACTTCCCCTGCTTTCACTATGTCCTCTCTCTATATATATGTCACATTTAATGTAAATTCTAATTATGTAACTTTGAAATAGTGCAATATTTGATCAAAACAAAGCATAATGTTGTAAATTCTTCATGCAAAGTTTGAAATAATGTGAACCCTCCTAAATTTAAACAGCTGAAAAATTGAGTGAATTACAATTATAAATTGTTTACACCACTAGCATATGGAGATGAAAGATGAATAAGGACAGGTTTTGCCAGGCGGTTAATGAAGGAGACAGCACTTGGAAAGATTAGCGACAATAAATATGGATAAGCAGCACTAAAATGAATATACCTCTAAGTCCACAAAAATCCCTCACAAGGAAAATAAAGGTTAAAAATAAAAGGGAAAAATATATATTGGAAACATGGGTGCAAGATCAATGCCCCGCAGGTACTTTTAAGCTACAATAATTGCATATTTACACCTCCTGAGAATCACACCTTCCTTATTAGCTTACTTTTTTTTAATGGGAAAAATTAGTAGTGAAGTAGGTGACCTTTTCATTCAAGGTGCTCACAAACATTACCTCTGAATCTAAAAGCTCTATTTTAATATCCTTTAAAAGTCCCTATAACTAGAGTGATAAAAACAAGGATGATCCTCTCCTAAAATGTAAGAAGGGACACATCAAGTAAATCCAAAGAATTTACAACACTCTACTTAATCAAAGAAGTTTCCTTGCTATACAGCTCACAGACAAGGTGAGACCACCCAGGTTGCTCCATGTCTGTAAAAGAAAGCAAGCAGGTGGCTATATTTCTTGGCTTGCACCCTCTAAATCTTAGCAAAGCCAGAACTCCATGGACGCCACAAAAATTGTATAAAGAATAAAAATAATAATTTAGAATCATAAATATTTTTAATACTGAATAAAGAGATAAGTTATATCTAAAGGAATTTAAAAAGAAGCCAAAAGCAAGCTTCATTTAAAATGGGTAGACAGGGAGTCTGTAAGTATTGTCTCTGAAATGATCTCATTTTTCTGTAAAAAGTGAGAAAGGTTTATATTAAAAATGCTTACCTGACAGGCACACTTTTATCTGTACTTATAGAAGCCTCTGGAATTAACTTTTTCCATTTAGAACTTGAAAACTCAATGGATTTTAGCATGGAAATGCATTCTTGTATAGAAGACTTCATCCAAGAAGCCCTTTCATATCTTTGTTGGGACACACAGCCAGCTTCCTTATAGCCTAAAAGAGTGGAGAAGGGAACAGGATGAGAGAGGTTTGAGAGAATAAAATGAGAGAGGTTTGAAAGAAGAGTAAACCTGGTTGGTGGATTCAGTGAAGAGTCACCTCGGAACGTGAGGCGGCTGTCAGCATTGTCAGGGCGCAGTGACAGACGAAACTCTGCGCGGCTGGTAAACATTCGGTATGGTTCGTTGGTGCCCAGTGTGGTGAGGTCATCAATCAAGACTCCAATGTAGCCTTCTGTTCGGCTAACAACAAAAGGAGGCTTATGTCTGACCCGAAGACTTGCATTGATTCCAGCTATCACACCCTACAAGAGGACTGAAATGTTTAAAAGGCCATTATGAACTGAACAAAGCACTATCCTATTCAGAACACTGTCCAGAAGAAACTGCAAGAGGCAGTAAGAAAGCAGGCACTGACCAGAAGGGATATGACAGACATACAACACCTGAACGTTATTCAGAAACACAAATAATTAAAGCAACACACACACACACACACACACACACACACACACACAATATGGGTAATGTACCACTTTACAATGCTATGATCCATTATTTTCAAAATACGTTCCTAAAAGGCTTAGATGGGATACCATTTTTTATATAAAAATTCACCTATAAAACTTTTCTAGCTTATTCCCCACTTACAAGTAAAAAAAATATAACTTCCCACTTGAAAGGAATAATATATGATCATTTTCAATAGTTATTTTAAAAGAGTAATAAAGCCACAAGCGTTTCTTAAATCCTATTGCATACAGTAGCTATCTCCATACACCCTGAAACAGAAGTCTCCTATTAATTATGAGTTGTATCTGAGATCTACATAATTATCATACAAGTGTTAGGAGGAATACCAGTTACATAGTCCCTTTCCATTTACATTAATGTTTGAACAAATGCTTACTTGAGCTGCAGCTTCCTCATAACCAGTAGTTCCATTTATCTGTCCAGCGAAGAAAAGCCGTTGCACCAAGTGAGTCTCAAGAGAAGGAGTGATCTGACGGGGGTCTAAGTAATCATACTGAACACCATAGCCTGACCAAAGAATGGGTGATACAAAGTAAGTAAAAACAGGGCTGGATTTGCCTTGAGGTAAAGATGCAACGATTATCATTCAATGCCCTTCAAAGATGGAGATTATTTTATTTTTATTTGTTTAAAGACTTTATTTATTTATTTTTAGGGAGAGGTGATGGAAGGGAGAGAGAGAAACGTTGAATTGCAAGAGAAACACCAATCGGTTGCCTGTCATATGCCCCCAACCAGGGACCTGGCCCGCAACCCAGGCCATGCGCCCTGACAGACAACCCTGTGGTTTGCAGGAGGATGCCCAATCCACTGAGCCACACCAGTCTGAGCAAAACTGAAGACTATTTTAAATGCACAGATGTTGGGCTTTGTCTTGTGAGGCTCTAAGTAACCATGACCATAGCTAAGATCTCCTCACTATCTGCTAAGACAATGCTGAGCTCATGCTAAAGGGCAGGGATAATTTTCTATACCTGGCTGGATCATTTTAGCTTTCTCCAGGCCTCTGATGCACGTGATCATTTTCTCTTGTAATTCAGCTGGTAGTGTCACAGATAACCCTTGGGGGTAAATGAGGTCAGAATCTACTCCTTCAGGTTCCAACCAAACCTGATGTACACGGTTTGGAAAACGCAAAACCTTTGATTCAATGGAGGGACAATATCTAGAAGAGGACATGGAAATAAAAAGAAATTAATGAAACAAACAAAAGAGGGTTGGCATCATTCCTTGAAGTTACTGAGCAGTGATATTTTGTCCTTACCGAGGTCCTCTCGTAGTTTCTTTAACATGACTATTTAGGTGAAGGTTCTCAAGGACAATCTCATCCACTCTAGGGTTGGTGTGAGTCAAGTAACATGGCAGCTGATCTTCTGGCTAAAACACATGAATCAGTTATAACACTTGTGCCTCTCTACTAATTTGCTTCTTATTCAAATAAGCTACATGCAAAATATGAACTTATTTTCATAGCAATTAAATCTATGCATATCGCCAAGTACTACTTATGAAACATTCCTGCCAAAAACAACCCAAAAGATGAACCTAACTTTAAGCAAGCCTCTAAATCTACCAGTTTACAGAAACATAGAAGTTGGAGAAACATGGTTAAGGCACAAGAGGGATGAAATCAGACAAATCTAGAATGTTGGATCTAGAGAACAAATGACTATTTCTTCCACATATAAGTGTCAAAAAGTGAAAATAAGAGAGGGGGAACTGTTATAAATAATAGCATCTAGCATAATGTAAGAACCTAATTTGATTCCTGGTTTAAAGAAAACAACTGTAAAGAAACATTTAAAATAAATGTAAACATTTTAAATAAACAGTTTAAAACAACTGTAAAAAAACCACTACAACACTGAGTAGTGGATGATGTTAAGAAATTATGTTTCGCTGGGTGTGATAATGGTATTGTGGTTAATATTTACAAAATTTTTGTCTGTTAAAGACATATACCAAAGTATTTATATGTGAAATGGTGTGATGTCTTGGACTGTTGCTTAAACTCATGAAGAAGAAAATGTTGAGGAAAGATAAAACCAAAATGGCAAAAATGTTATTTGTTGAAGCTGGTGATGGGACACATAGAGATTCATTATACTATGTCTTCTACTTTCTGTTAACTTAAAATTTTATAATAAAAGTTTAAAAATATACATACCAAGAAAATACCATCACAATCTACATTTTCCCAAAGCAAAATATAAAAGTGACTTTTCAAAAATACAATATTTAAAGCCACTCATGAGGATAACACAAGAAACCAGAACCTTAAATTATTGGTCTTCAATTCTAATAAAACAATATACTTTTTTTAAATACTCAAAAGATAGGCAGAAGTAACCTGTACTCTTAAAAAAAAATTCAGTATCATGAAAGACTGGAAAACTGTTTCAGATTAAAGAGAAATGATAATTAAATGCATATATGATCCTAGATGGGAAAAGAAAAGGTTACCGTAAAGGACATTGGGACAATCGGCAAAATCTGGCCATGGACTTTACATTAGATGACACTATTGTATAAAAGTTAAATTCCTTAAATTCATCACTGCATTGAGGTTATGTAAGAGGATGTTTTTGTGCTTAGCTGAGATACAGACAGAAGTATTCAGGGGTAAAGGGTCATGATCTTTGCAACTTCCTCTCAAATGTTTCTGACAAAAAAGGAGAAATGTGTATACTACTGTTTTATACTATATATATAACCAGAGAGAGAAAGAAATATGGTCAAATATTAACAATGGGTGAATTTCAATGGTTTATAGATTGTTTTAATTGCATTTCAACTTTTCTGTAGGTCTGAGATTGATTCCAAAAGTGTAAATAGGCAAAGTTATTGAAGTAATGAAATTTAAGAGTGTATCGTAAAATGACCCAATCAACCAAATTAGCTAATCCTTTTAAAGATAATTTATTTTGCAGTGTAAGTACTAGTAATGTAAATCGAATTGTTACTGAGAAAGGGGGGCTTGGGGGAGGGAGGGAGGGAGAAAGGAAGGAAGGAAGGAAATTAAGGAAAGAAGGCTTAGGATATATCCTTCTGTGAGTAGCCAATATTTAGCTGTAAAGACAGATTTTCATAAATTAACTTACCTTAATCCACACTGTTTCATTAATAAAGCTGAATGGTATTGGTGGGTTATCTGGTGTCTGCTTGTTTAGAATGCTAAAATTAATCGACTCTTTGGCAATCCGGGGTGGAGTCCCAGTCTTCAATCTTCCCACCACAAACCCCAACTTCTCTAGGGTCTGAGCCAAGCCTATGGAAGGCTGATCCCCTAAACGTCCCGCCGGATGCATCTCCAATCCAATTACAATCATGCCTCTCAGAAATGTCCCAGTAGTCAGAATCACACTGTCCGCATATACTTTGCTTCCATCCACTAAAGGATAGAAAAGAGTAAAAATCCTGTTCTAATTATTACCGTGGATCAAATTAGAATGTGACTAATTTACATTAGAACTACAGAAAACTTTTTCTTTAGAAACTTGAGAAATAACTTTACATGAGTAAGAAGCCTATATTTTATCAATCTCTAGCATCCAAGAAAGCCGGGAGGGAAAACATAGTGTGCTATCACCAACTCACACGTTCCTGAAATTATACCAGCACTGAAAATTATTACATCAGTCAATTTTGAAAATTAATTAACATTAGACTTCTGGTTAAATCTGATAGACTATCTCACATGATCCCTTTACCCTCTTCAAACTCCAAGAAAATAAAATAAAGGGGCAAAAAAGGTATAAAACCACAAGGACAATGAATGGGTGAGAAGTTGTCAAAAGATGAGACATTTCAAAATATTTTTGGAAGACAAAGTATGTGAAAGAGTGATAACTGATTTAGCACAGGGGAGAAGATGGAGATCGAGAATCTGAAGAGAAGACCCCAAGGGACTAATGTCCATTAGTGGACTAATTTGCCCTACAAAGGCCCAGAAACTGGGGGACTGAAAATGAGAACTGAGGAACAGAGGAATGAAGCCTGGGGCTGAAATTAGACGAAATAGTTGAAATCTATACAAAAATGTTATGTCTGCAGACAGATTTCCTTAGGGAAAATTTAGGTTTATGCTGTGGGTCATGGGGAGTTACTGTTTAATGGGCACAGAGTTTCAGTTTAGGATTGGAAAGTTCTGGAAACGGATAGTGGTGAGAGTTGTACAGCATTGTAGATGTACTTAATGGCACACAAATGTACATTTAAAAACGGCAAATTTTTTATGTACAGTGTACTATAATAAAAATTTATATTACTGAGCATGTAAAATGTAGACAAGGTAAAAATAGCATTTAAAGATATGAAATTAAGTAAGAAAAGCATAAACAAAGTTACAAAAGTCTATACACAATATAATCATTAAATCTGAAGGGGATAGGAAACAGGAGAGAAAAAAGGAAATGAATATAAAACTAATTTAGTAACTGTTCACTGACAGAAGAGAAGATTAAGCATACTATATAAAATCATAGTTATTAAGGTAATCACCAGAACAAAAACACAAGCATTTAGAAACGAAACATAGCTCCCAGATAGCAAACACAGACTGTGGTTAAAATAAAAGTGCAGAACAGTATGTATAATATGCTGCTATGTGAAACACACACACACACACACACAAACACACATACACACACACACACGAAGATAACACATACATGCACAGATAGAAAGGCTACACAAGGAACTCATAATGCTCCTGAAGAAAACTGCTTGGCTGGGAGATGAGATGAGAGAGTGAGACCACCTTGTCACTCTACATTCTCTGTCCTCTTTAAACTGTTTAGCATGTATATGTATTCCTCATTCAAAAAATTAATAAATCTATAATTCAAATTAATTTTATAACAGAGAAATGAAGTCAAGATCTGTATTTTAAATGATGAGATTCTCCATCATAGCTCCTCTCACCATTTTGTTCCCAGATGGCCAGCCGGCATTCTGAGAACTAAGAGACATTGATTTATTGAAGTGCACCAACAAAACAATCCAGTGCGATCCCTAATTGCCAGAGAGTCAGCCAAACAATAAAATTAACTGTGCACTCACAAACCTTCCAATTAATGTTTTAGTGCCTCAATTTGAAAATTCTACAGAAACAACCAAACTTCCCCAGACACTTGAAAAAAAGGCATGTACATGAAAGTAACAAGCCCAAATAAACAAAGAAAAATCAAGAAATCTGGAGAAAATAATACACAGATCAGAAGAAAACTTCAAAAATCAATCACTAGCTCTGGCTGAATAGCTCAGTTGGTTAGAACGTCATCTGAACTAGGAAAAATAAAAAGTGAAACAGAAAAACCAAGAGGAAAAGGGCACAGTTATGCAGGTGATTCAGTTCTACACATGTACAGATGAGCCCATAATTTAACTAAGCTTTGCAAAGGCCAAAATGGAAGGAGAATTACGATTTTTTATACAATTTTCCTCATCCATGAAAACACAGTTCCCAGAATAGGTAAAACTCCTCCATACTCTGCTCTAAAATGAATTGCTTGCATGGAGTCTGATGCTGTTATTATTGTGCAAAACTAGCACATACCCAAAACAACACCCCTGACCCGGCATTTCCCAGTGTGCTCAGGTTCTGGCTCTGCGAGAATAAGATCCTCTACAGCTCCCTCCTGGACGGTGAGCAGTGGTGTATTTAGGATTTCTTTCTGTCAAAAGAGAATGCAAGTTGAAACAACAGTTTAACAATCATCACAATCAATCTCTCTGGTTTTTGTGCTCTATTCTTACCTGCATGTTCTGTTTATAAAGTTTCCTATCAATCTGAGCTCTCAGACCCCAAACAGCTGGTCCTTTACGCCGGTTTAATACTTTGTAATGTACACCAGACTGGTCACAGATTCGGGAACACAGGCCATCCAAAGCATCAACTTCCCTCATTAAATGCCCCTTTCCGATGCCACCAAAGGAAGGATTACAAGACATCTGACCTAAAGAAAACAGACAAAATAAATACATCAGCACCTTGCGGTAGTGAGTGTTTAATAGGGAAATGTCTGTACAAGTAACTAGAATCATCTCATGTGATAAAAAAAAAATTAAAAACTTGAAACAAACACTAAAATTCCAAAGTCCTAATGGGATGAAAGAGTTATTTGGGGCATTCTGGAAGATAAACTACTGCCTATAGTTTCCTTTCAATCTTTTCCTTGGTGCATATTTTCACTATTTCATTAGGTTTCCTTTTCCTTTAAAATGTGTTTTTGAAATCCTTACCTCATGTAACCTGCCAAATGAAGCATACTTTTAAGAATCCCACGAGAGGCAACCAATCGATGTATCTCCTGCACATCGATGTTGCTCTCCCTTTCTCTCTCTCTTCCCCTTTCTCTAAAAATAAATAAATAATATCTTAAAAAAAAAAAAAAGAAGTCCCTTGACACTGGTTCACTGTTATGATCAATTATGTTTTCCATAAATGCCATCTGCTTTCTTTTTTGCTTTTTCCGCAGAAATAATTATATGATAAGCTTCCTCAAAGTACAGACTGTATTTTGTATCTTTTCTTTAAATTACTCTAGTTTTATTTGGAGGTCTAAACTCATGTGGTTACCTCAAAGGTTTTAGGCAGGTAGGAAAGCTATATTATATCAACAGCTGTGTGTCCACTGCAACCACCATCAAGCCCCCCAAAAACTGTTTATGGTTTCCACAGGGAGGCTGAATAGTTCTGGGATTAGGAACACCAGTTGGGTGGGAGGGAAGGATCTGGTTCAACTCCTAGATCTACCACTTATAACCCCTGTGATTTTGGCATGTTATCCAATTTTTAGTACCTCTGTTTGTCTCCTCTAAAAACAGGGATGATAGCTGTAGTAGATTATTTCCCTCCTTCCTTTGGTATATAATCACAGTTTAACACTCTTCTTTACGAGGTTTTGTGTTTGGGGGTTGTGACCTAAACTCAGTTTAGGGGTAAATCTTGATTGATGGAAATACAGTAATCCTATTCCTACTTGCCACTGTCTGTTTTAATGGAAGGAAATAAATCATGGGGGGTTAAGCTGGTGGGCAGTGGGGTAGTCTCTAGGAAGGCTTTTGTTGTTGTTTATTTCTCCTCTTTAAAGAGATAAGAAGGGGAAACATCCCTTCTTCTGCTGAAAGGTGTCATATCTGGATGTAACATCCGAAACTACCACAGCCATTCTGCAATTGTGAGGGTAACTAGTGTGAAGACATCTGAAGAGTGGCATAATGGCGATGTGGCAGGAATGGAATCTCTGGACATTGTGACAGTGCTGAGTTAACCAACCTCAGAGCTGATCTACCTACAGACTTCTTGTTAGAAAAGAAATTCTCCTTTTTGTTTAAGCTAATTGAGTAAGAATTTGTTAGTCGTAAAATGAGATAGTGTATATAAAGCAATTAGCGCAGTGTCTGGGCTAGAGTAAGCAATAACTAACATTTATTAATAACTGTTTTAATTTACTTCCCAGGTCAATGTAAAATATTCTTTGCTTCTGACCTTTACTTTTTAAAAAAATCATGTAATTTCTTTGTTTTTTTAACATTTATTTTAGATTATAAATAATTTTCCTTCACCAGCACCATTAAAAATTCTTACAATTATTTTCGCAAATGTGTAAAATAAAGTATTCACTGAAGATCCTTATGTGGGTATCTTAGAAAAGTGTTCCAAATGCTATCAATAAAATCAATAAGCATAATAGTGAATATTTATCTATCGAGTTTATATGACAGCAACCAATTTGCACTCCTGAGTTTCTAAGTCAACATATTCTTTCATATATAAGTATTAAACTGTTTTACTAAAGAAATACCGAAAATCAGTATTGGGAATAATGTAATTCATTCTCAATTAATGACTCAGGTCCAATCTTGTGTCTTTTATATAGCTCAACTCACTTCCCTTTCTCCCAGATCTTATCAACTAAAAATATTTCAGACAAGTCTTTTTGATTAGAAAAAACACCATATTCAATAACTTAATCACAACTAAAACATTTGAATTATTTGTTAATGAATAAGTAACGAAAATATAAATATACAGAAATGTGGATTATCACCACATATGATTTTTTTCCCTATTACTTTGTACCACTCAAGTAATCCTCTTCTCATCTTTAGAGAAGGAAGGTATGTTTAGGTTAGAGGTGACAGCCCACTGGTATGCCTGAGATGTTTTGTTTGGTACACACAAGACTTTTAAAAAAATAAACAAAATAATGAATGGAAATGTATTTTCCAGTTTACCACTGTTCCCAGTACTCCAGGTTTTTTATTCATCTAGCTTCACATATTTAAATTATGTTTCTGGCTCCTAGACCATCCCTGTTTTAGATACTGCTACTCACAAAAATGACTTAGCTTTAAAATTTTTTTTTTAATTTATTGATTTTAGAGACAGTGAGGAAGGGAGAGGGAGAGAGAGGGAATGGATGAGGAAGACAGGGAGAGGGAGAGGGATAGAAGGATTGATTTGTTGTTCTATTTATTTACTCATATACATTTGTCCATTGATTCTTGTATGTGCCAACCTGGGATCGAACCTGCAACCCTGGCGTATCAGGAAGATGCTCTAACCAATGGAGCTACCCAGCCAGGAAAAATGACTCTGCTTTTAACTTATATTACATATCAGTTAATTTTTCAAAAATCTTTAAAGCCCACTAATTTCTGACATTTTTTCAAACTTTGATCCCCAGAAATGAGTCTTCTCATACACAGAAGTAAAAACAAAACAAAAATCCAAAACCCCAGGAGCAAATTATTGAAATTCCACCACTTTACTATAGCGCTAGACAACTTCTAGATATTTTATTGAGTTAGTGTACTATATTATAAACCTATTTATAAAATTTACATCTGTGAAAGTCAAGTGCAAAGAAATCCTCGTCTTTTTTAAATTGCTGAAAGCTTTTTCTCAAAGAAATATAAGTATCAATGTTGAGCACTCTTATAGGCATAAAAGTTAGACAAGTTGTTCTCTCTTACTAAGTCCTCAAAATCTTTCTCAATACAGAACTCCAAGAAGCCAGCTTTCATTCCCAATCATTTGCAGTTGGAATAAGGAGATCTGTTGGTCATCTGTGCTCTTAAATAGAGACCACTAATATCTCAAGTGTGGTACCACTACTTGGGGTGCACACCAGTGATAGAAATGTATAAATTAGTTCATTTTTCACTGTACTAAAGAATTTAAATTGGCTCTGTAGAAAAGCTTGTGATAAAACAATAGTTAACGTCTGACCACTTGATGTGGGCCAGGCCCTCTATTAGATGTGTTGCATGTATATTTTCTGACTTAAACTTTACAGCAACCTGATGAAGTTGGTACTATTATTTCCATTTCATAGAGAGAGAAACTGAGGCTTAAATAAATTGTCCCTTAGCCCAAGGTCACATAGATAATACACAGGAGAGCCAAGAATAAAATTCAGAAAGTCTAATGACCTCTTCAATGGACAATATTCTCCATGAAATGCATAGGTGATACAACGGAGAATCAACAGGCTCAAAAGTCTTGTCTTTTTTGTTGTGAAAGGCAAAAAATTAGTTTGCCAAAAATCATGATTTTCCAGGTTGGTATAAATAGAAGACTTTCTGCCTCTGACTTCAATATTGGCAAGTGACATGATTGAATCATAACAGGACAATTTTTGCCTTCTGTATTATTATAGAAGTTAAACTTCCTAAGCCAAAACTATCTTCATAGGTCAAGTAGAAATACCTAATGCTCCACTATATCAAATTACCTTAAAAATGAAACTTTGATTTTAAGATAAAATTGTTATTTACTAATCTCACCTATAAGAGTTATTAAAATGTATCTGAGATGTATTTACTTTAAAACTTGTATCATATTTTGTTGATAATATGAATGAGCTTTGGTGAGAATCCCTTTATCCCTGACAGGAGTACATAATGATCATCTTAGTTCAATAGTACTTTTTTGTTTATTACATTTTTATTATTGAAAGGTAGTACAATAAATAATATTGTATAATAAGCAAAGTGTAATCTTTTGGGTAATCACATAGTTCTTCTCCAAAAGAATCACTGTGAACAGTGTATATTTCTCCACTGTTACGATCTGGATGGCAATTTTTAAAAAGTATTTCAGTATATATATGTGACTTATTCACAATTTTTATTAACACAGTTAATATTTTAACTACAGTTCACTCTTAAGCAAAATGAAGGAGGAAAGACATGCGCACACATAATTTACATGATACTGTTTTAGCTACCATCTATTATGATGCAAGTGAGCAGTCTTGCTGCACATTATGGCCGTTCAACCAGTGCCTAATAAGGGGCAAAAAAAATAAAAAGGCAGTGTCGAGTCCTAATCACAAAACTGGGGAACAAACATCCAGCAGAAATACAGAATGCAATAAAAGGTAGCATCATTCTTCAAAAGGACTTCACAAAATCTCAAGAAAAACACAATGGTCGTTTAATAAACGATCACTCATAATGGTTTGTTTTTTTAAAAAGACTTTACTTTTTTTTAGAGAGGGGAAGGGAGGGAGAAAGAGAGGGGGTAAAACATCATTATGTGGATGCCTCTCACATGACCCCCACTGGGGACCTGGCCTGCAAGCCACGCATATGCCCTGACTGGCAATCGAACCTGCGACCCTTTAGTTCACAGGCCCGCACTCAACCACTGAGCCACACCACCCAGGTTTCATAATGTTAATTTACCCTTCACCCAAATCAACAAGCTAGTTCAGGTTAAATGGCAACAATGAAATAAGAAGCTATCAGTAGGTACAGTATTCCTAGTTTCCCCCTTTCCCAATGCACAGTCCCACCACATCCCCCAAGGAACTACTTTTGTCAGCAGAAGCATAATCCGTGCTCCACAGAAAATTTCTGCCAGGGGCCCGCCTGATTCTGCGAGACACAAATCAGCTAAAACCAGATACCAGGACTCTCACTATACTTGGGAGAGGGAATAGATTGCCCACTCCAGGCATGGGAGGCAGAGAAACAGATTATATTTGCAGTTTGCGTCCTATGCAAAGCTCCCCACCACCCATGTTCCTCACCGATCGTGTCGACGCGGTGCGTGAGTAGCAGAGTCCGGGAGCCGCACCGAGCGGCAGCGGCGGCAGCCTCGGTCCCGGCGTGTCCTCCGCCGATGACGACCACATCGAAGTGCGGGATCCCGGGCGCAGCGCTGTCACCGCTGCACCGGGCCAACGGAAACAGCCGTTTGGTGAAAGAAGCCGCAATCTGGCGACCACAACCACGGAGAGGGAACATAGTTGGAGAAAGGCACAGTCTGTCTGACTTTAAACCTGACACAAGCGACGCGCAAAATTTTAGGGCTTGATAGTAACGCTTCAGGAAGCAGCCATCTTGTTCTGATGTCAAGGCGCAGGGCACGTCTCCGTCGGCTGTCGCCGCCGACTGGAGCTTTGGCGCGACTTTTAGACGCGCGAAGGGCGTTGGTGGACTTGGCGTGGGTATCTGCTACGTTGTTGTCGGTGCCGGTCTGATAACCTGCGGATCTGGAATGAGACCTCCTACTCGGTTATTTTTTGCCCTTTCAGGCAAGTTGCAGCCCTGTTCCCTAGGTGACCACCTACGAGCAATGATTTTGAATACTGCTTTATTAGATTCTTTGAATTTTCTGGCCCACTATCAACTTGACTTCTGTTTGTCTATACTGACTCAAGTCGGAGTAGGAAGAAATTTGAAAGGAGTTCAAGTACGTTTGGGGATGAAAGATTCATGATGGTTAATTGGAGGAATCCAACAGAGGTTAAATGTCCAGCCTTTGGGAACTGATATTTTTTAAACCTTCCTTAAGAAACCTTTGACTAGTTAAAGAGTGAAACAACCTGTGTGGGAGTTTTATTCTGATCATTAAAATCTAGCAAATACAATTTTGCTGTGTTATTACATTAAAAATATTGCATTCTTTTACACATTTTAAATCTTACAAAACTTTTGAGAGCTAAAGAACTTAAAACTTCCACTGGCCTCCCAATCTCCACCTCTGTAATCATTGTCAGCATTTTCTTGCTAATTCCTCCTAGTTTTTTAATACAATACTAATGCTACTATTATTTTGCACATATAATACTGTGGCTATGTATATTTTTACTTTGCTTTTTTCTTTTGTTTTTATTGATTCAGAGGGAGAAAGAGAGGGAGAGAAACACACATTGGTTGCCTTCCTCACCGGCCCACCTGGGGACAGAGCCAAATCCTGAACCCTGGGCACACGCCCTGATAGGGAATGGAACCTGGGACCTTTTGATCTGGTTTGCGGAAGAAGACACCCAACCAACCCAGCTACTCCCACCAAGGCTCACTTCTTTTTTTAACAACGTATTTTCTACTTTCTCCGTGTCAGTATTTTTCAGTCTCCCTCACTTCTTAATGCTATGTAATATTCAATTGTGTATGTGAACTGCAAATTATTTAATCAACTCCTATTGGGGGCATTTGGGTTGTTTCTAATTTTTTGAAATACAATCATCCTTGTACAGGTATCTTTTTAAAATTTATGGTGCCGCCCTGACAGGTGTGGCTCGGTTAGTTGGGCATCAATCTTCGCAGTAAAAGATCGGTGGTTCAGGGCACGTGATCTGGGCTGCCTGTTGGGTCCCAGTTTCAGTGTGCAAGGGGCCACTGATGGATGTTTCTTTTGCACATGGGTGTTTCTCTCCCTTTCTCCCTCCCTTCCTCTCTCTTTAAAAATAAATAAAGTCTAACAAAAAATAAATTTACAGTGTTCTTTCTATAAGTGAAAATACTGGGTTAAAGGACTCCTCAATGTTTAAATTTTTGAAAATTGCTAAATTAACTTCCTGAAAACTTTGTGTCAGGTTGTACTGATAATGTAAGATTATGTCATCACATTGTAGCCAGCATTGGATTTTAATTAAATTTTGACTATATATTTTTGATATTTTTAATGAATATAGGATATGTACACTGTTATGTAATCTATTTTTATGCATCATAATTCATCATGGACATTTTTCTATGACAATAAATGCAGACATGTCATTTTCAAGGACTATGCAACATATTATATTTATAAATACTTTTAAATCGGTAGTTTCAGTCTTTAATAAGAGAATCACAGGCCTACATTTTCAATTTTACTAATCTCTCCACATGACGTATATTTATTTCTTAATTTTATTTACTGACTTTAGAGAGAAAGAGAGGAAAGGAGAGAAAGAGAGGAAAAGAGAGAAAGAGGAAACATCTCTTTGTTGTGCCACTTCTTTATGCATTTATTGGTTGCTTCTGATATGTGCCCTGACCAGGAATCAAACCTGCGACCTTGGTGTACTGGGACCATTCTCCAACCAAGTGAGGTAGCTGGCCAGGGCCACGTGATATATATTTAAATGAAACCTTTCTCTTTCCCATAGAGACATTAATCACAGACCCAAAGATAAGATGTTTAGTCAGGGATAGATATATGAGTAACTGGATTTCTACTGTAAAAGAAGATAAAGCTCTTCATTAAACTGAAGTTAGTCTGCTGCCATTTGTGTTGAGGATCCCCCAAACCATCCTCAGCTGTGTTTGCTTTTCATTCCAGGAAGAAACCCCATTTTATTCCTGGCTAGCAGCCTTCTCTTCTCGAGTGGACCAGGAGGTGGTCACTGTTGGAGTGGAGATGTTGCTAGGTGGTGAGAAGGTGGGGTTGCTCATCTATTTCTCACTGATGGCCAGCTGAGGTCTTGGGGTCTATCTCTGGATCACCACTGCTGTCTATAATTTGTTGAGGGCCCTGCTTGGAATTTACTGTTAAGTTAGATTGCCCTAATCTAACTTAGTTTGAAGGATCCCCAGTGAGCCAAGCTGGGGATCAGCCTTTTGGGAATCCTGGAGATTGTGCTCAGAGGTGTACTGAGTACGAGGATCTTGGGCATTTTGTTGCCTTGGCCTAGGTGGTGTTTGTGGCAGCGGCAGCAGGGGCTGTGGCTGCCCATCCTCAGGTTTAATGATAAGTTAGAAGGACTCACAGAACTCAGAAAAGCTGTTATATTCATGGTTATGGTTTACTACACTGAAAGGATACAGATTAAATTCAGCAAAGGCAAAATGCACACAGCTCAGAGTCCAGGAGAGACCAGGCATAAGCTTCCAGTTGCCTGTCCCTCTGGAGTCATTTGGACAGTGCTTAGTTTTCCTAGCAGTGATGTGTGGCAATGCAAAGTATCACCAACCTGGGAAGCTAACCTGCACCTGGATGGCCAGGGCTTTTATTGGGAGTCTCTGTGCCTGCATGACTGACCTGGTTACTCAGTCTCCAACCCCTCCAGAGGTCAAACTATTGCAGCACAGACCAAATCACACTGCTAGTGTAAACCCTCTGGCATGGCCCAAAGCCCCAGGTATATACAAAGACACTAAAAAATTGTTTTTCCAAGTGTCGCCATATTGTTGCTCTATGGTGACAGATGTTTGTGTAGCTCTGAGACTTCAATTCCTGATAATGCAGCTGCTTACAGGGCTTTCACTGTTGGCCTGTGAAGATCACAGGCCCTTTAATGGCTTTGTGAAGTATATTAAATGTTTAGTCATGATGAACACCCAAAACTAAGATAACATTATATGTCAACTATAATTAAAAATAAAATTTTAAAACCACATTAAGTACTAAAAATGACAATAATACTTAAAATATCATGCCTTCCCTTCCCATTGGAGACCAAGAAAAATAGATTTGGATGAAGTACCCTCAGTCCAGATTCTGAGGTGTAGATTTCCTGCTGCTTTTAGAGGTGGGTATTGGGGATGATGGAGTTGTGAATAGAGAGAAGTTCAGAGGCTCTACTTTTATTGCTCCTGTTTGTCCTGAGGGCTCTTGCTCCATGTGAGGTTATCATTTCTCCAATTTTTCCAGGAACTTCGAAGGTCTCTTCATGAAACGATACAGCCAATAGGCTATACCAGCATAGCTGGGACATGTCCCATGTCCACTGCCCACAGGAGTCCCAGCACCAGGCAGAACATGGTTAGGCTCTCTGGTGAGATGAGTGGAATTGCCAGACCTTGAACAATGACGTTCCCAGCCTCTGGAAGACATGGTCAAGATTCCGATAATTTCCCTGCAGAAAAGTAGGAGCCATTGTGTTTGTCTGTTGTTGTCTTTGGAATGTAGGAGTCAGACTTCTGATAAGAAAACTTCTTGCCTCTGCCACTCTGGAAATATTGGACCTTGGGAAAAGGAATGTTCTTCCAGCTGTGGCACCTCAGTGCGAAGGGGTCACCCTCCTGGAACACCCACCAAAGGGCCTGGAGCAGCAGACAGGCAGCGTGGACTGGAGCTGCACTGGGTCACTGGGTGCAGAGAGGTGGATCTGACACCTATACTCCCCACTGACCTTAACTCTGGCCAATGGATAAAGTAGCTGGAGGTCCAGTTTGGAAGGAGGTTTTCACTATGCCACCACTGTGTGAAGTTGTCCCCCTCCATGTGGGTCCCCTGGTATTTCAGAGTCACATTGTCCCTCTTGAGCACCCTGACCCATTCAGGGTTCACAGATACCACAGCCTTTGGGAGATCTTCAGCTCCGTGCCTGCAGAAGCCAGAGGCAGTAGGGCCATGGGTGGCATCAGCTGCCACATGCTGGCCATGAGAGTGAGCAAGCCACCACAGACAGCCAGAGCCCCACAATGCTGTAGCTGACCTGAGAGAGGAAGTAAAGCAGCCTTCCCTTACATCCCATTACTCAACAGCTTCCTTTTCTGGGAACATCATTGACTGTAGAATCTGAACTATGAAGGTGGAGCAGAGAGCCTGGAGGAGAAGCTGAGGTGGGTATGACCCTTAGCCCCACGTGTGTCTGTGCTGACCACTTGGTGACAGGCTGTGGGGCACCCTCAGAAATCTCAGGACATTTGCCCCACCTGGTGGGGCTGGGTACACCCAGCACCAAGAAAGGGATAGCTTGACCCAGTGGAAGAGACTGGGATGAGGGAGAGGGTTCCCTGAGGGTTTCTACTTCCATCTCACACCTTCTTCCTGCCCAGGCCCACATCCATGCAGCCCAGCTACCTACCTACAGAGAGCAAGCACTTGAATCTTCACACCCCTACAAGTGTCCCTCACCCCAATATATCTCCGCCAACATTTTCTTTCAAATTTAAAAATGCCCATGCCCTAGGATCAATAATTCAAAGGAGCTTCTAATTGTTCAGTGTGAATTTGATCACAAGGTTCCCACCATCTGTTAAAAGAACCCTGGCTGTGAGGGGAAAATGGGCCCTGAAAAAGCAAAAGAATGCAGAAAAGGTGGAGGGCTGAGGGTCAGCAGCAAGGTGAGGCCAGAACAGAAACTCTGTGCCTTCACCCCAGGGTTAACAGGGCTGC